ATGCATCAAATGTCACTTCTTTTTGTTAATATGACTTAACAAAGACTTATTTGCTATTTCATTTTTTTATTGTATTATTGTAAATGCAAGTAATTGTGATTGTTATTACATCATTTTATTTTTATTTCACATTTTTTTATCCGTCTCTCGTCTCTCATTTTGTAGTTACTAATTTTAAATTGTTAATAAAAATAATCCTAATAATCTAAAATAAATCTGTTAATATATAAAACTATAAATAATGGCTCATTGTACATAAAACAGAATTTTAAGAACGTGTGAAACTAAATAAAATTAAATAATAAACAATTAGAATGACATTGACAAGTATCTCACAGATGCGATCTTAAATATTTACATTTATCTTCTCGGATTTGAAGAAACTTAAAAATATATACAGTCAGAGTATACAATTATCCAGAACATAATTTGCGTAGTGTTTGACGCAAAGTATATCTGTTGTTCCAATTTATTATTAATTGAATTCATAATTGAATCTGCGATGAAAATTGAGCTGTTTTCTTTATGCGCGCACACGTCATACTTTATCTTTATATGGAGTCCAGCTGCTGCGGTAAATCCCATTCCTAACGGCGCAAGTGGATTTAGTTTAGCATTCATCGCATTTCTCTGTCCATTCCCCTTGGACATTTTTTTTACTCGCCCACCGTTCGCGAATGTTGGACGTAAACACTTCATAAATCATGTTTGCAGATTGTAGTTGATTTATGTGTCGCAGCCTTAACATTAATCGAACGTTGCTGTTACAATCTTTCGGTTAATTAATTTGGTAATTGGCCTAAAAAGCGGCGGAAACAATGTGCCCATTGAATATGGCTTGTGAGACAGGAAAGAGGAATTTCCATTTAATTTGGTTAATTCAGTTGACGAAGTTGTCTGATTCAGATGTCTAAAATTTCTTGGGTTTAAAAATTTAGGAATTTCTGGTCGCTAAAAGAGCTAAATAAGACACCAATTAGATGAAGCGATAAAAAAGACATAATAAAAAGAATAGAACTTCTAGGACTATAATTTATTACAATAACAAATATTAACACTTTTCATTACTAATTCCTGAATTATATTATTAATTGTGATACTTATAAGTTAATTAATTAATAATAATAACTTAGTGGCACTTAAATATTACTCATGATAAGAGTTATAATTAAATTAATATGCGGAAATTAAAATGTGCAGAAAATAATTTCCTTAACGATAACTAAATTTAGTGATATACATTTATTTAAATTGGCTACACAATTATTTTAAATAATTAACTAAAATAAAACTTAGTGAGTAAAAAAAATTAATTTCGGTCGCTTATAAAAAAAAAAAATTTGATAAATTTTGTAAAATTGGGAAAAAGAAATTAGCCTATTTTAATCAAATATTTAAAACTTGTTAAAAAATATTATTGATTCATAAAAAAATTCTAATTCAAACTGTTTTGTATATAGATTAGAAGTATAATATTGATTTGTGCTGATTTGAATTGTTTTATTTTTGTTTGTTTACTATCAATTTTTGTAATTTTATAGATAATTTAGGTAAAAAGACCTAAGTTATACTGCCCAATTATAGAAATAAATATGATTTAATATTTTATTTATATTTTGTGTTTTCTTTTGTTGCATGAATTCGATTTTTTGTAAATATAGAAGCTCGTAAACCGTTTTTGTGTAAACCTAATTACATACAGTGGATTTTTACTACTATAGTGAAACAATTTTCCCATATAAACTGATATACGATAATGCGTTCCATTTTGGAGTCATTTTTCTTACAATTTATTTTGCTCGTTATGCGAGGTGCCACTGTATATACAAAAACTATATTTAAGAGTAAGTACTCCTGATAGATATTTACATCTTCGTAATATTATAAAGACATCATCATTCTAATTGAACATTTGTTTCATCCTCTCTTTCATATATTGATGTGTAGAAGATTTAATTAGACTCATTAAGATTGCTAATTTTATACTTTCAGTGTTTACTAACAAAAGACGATGATAAATCTAAATAATATAATTCGAAGGGATCCGCACAATTTTACAATTTGTTTCCAGCTTCAGTCGTGTGAAACTTTTACCGCATCTCCATCATCTTTCCTTGAATTAATTTCCATGATGCAATTGCCTCTGCGGTGATCTTATAAACAGTAAATTGATGCTCAGTCCGGAGGATGAGTACGTGTTTCATTGCATAATTCGCGTTAATGAAATGCTCATCTCCTCGCATTGTAATTTACAACAGCAGCGACATGATTAAAGAGAAAGAGAATGAAAAGATGAGATGGAATGCTGTATTTTTAGCATCATCACATAAACAAAGCCGAACTTGCAACCGGTTGGCCTAAGTCTATTTCTCGAAGCAGATTTACGATTTGTTTACGTTTTTTTTCTACATATAAACATTCTCTCGTCCAACGCTCGAATAAAATTTCCCATTTAGGTGTGTTAAGCAATGGTAATTTGCATATTAAAAAACACGAAAATGTAATAAGAAATACGTAGCTATTTATAGACTACCAGAAATTAAGTAATATAGTAAATACTAGTTTTTTTGTTGATAGATCGCTCTATTGCAATAAACGAATACGTTCATAATTAGATTATTTTTCAAGAATTTTACGCTTGTATGCAAATTTTACGGTGCGGTCGGAAGTGATTGTAAATATTTATTATTCGCTTTTTTCAATGCGGATTTTAAATAAGAATAATTTGTTTTTAATGCTTTAAGTTATGTAGTGTGTGGTTAACGTTGAAGGTTTTTATTTAATTATTCCTCGATATTTCATTCAATTGCCATTGACCTTAACGCTATTTTTATTTAACAATAATAATAACAACAATATTAATTATAGTGTAAAATATTAAAATAATAATGAACAAAGTACTGAAACAATAATTGTTTCGAATTAATTAACGGAAATGTTAAAATACCTTACTCAAGTTTATTTTTTTAAATTACTAGTAACTATATAAATTAGAATACAAAACTGATATTTATTAATGCTAACTTATTGGAACCGAAGAAGAACTTTTAGTAATTAAAATACAAAACAAAGTTGATGAGAGAATCCTTTTATTCTTCAAAAATTAGATTAGAATAGAGTAGAAAGTAAATATTTGGAAATGTTCAAGAAGTGCTGTACATTCTAATATTGTTGACTATATTAATTACATATGGCATATATTTCTTTGTATATAAATTGTTATTTTTATATTAGTTATTATTAAATTTATTAAAAATATTTAAAAAAAAAAAGTTTATCCAGATCACAAATCATTTTTATGACATTGAATAAATGAATAATGCATTAAGAAAAGAACTAAATACATATTTTATAATGTTCATTAATCATCAATAATTTATATTAATTTTATTTATTAATGTCTAATTAATATTTACTTTGCTCGTTTACTAAGAATTTGAACTTAGTCTATAAATTATTGTTTTAATAAATATATTAATAATATATATTTAATTAAAACAACATTTGAAGTTTCATAATAACTATATGAATATAGAAAAACATGATTTATATACCAGGAAATATATTTTTTATCATATTAATTTTTATTGAAATCATATTTGCTTAAATATGAGTATGAATTAACATGTAACCACTAATGACAAATAAATACGCTTAATAGAAAAATCGACCGAATACTGGGATTTACCGACTTCTGGATATTGATTAATTTACATCGTTCTGTTATAAAATTGAGTTTACTTTTAAGATTATTGTTTTCTGTTCGCGGCAATAAAAAAAACCTTGATCTGATTCCCGTGGCTTATTGATTGCTATTGAATCATTTAAGGTACGTTAAAATTGATTTTACTTCTTTAAATTTTTAATTAAATTACTGAAATAAGCAACAACTTAGACAATATGAAAAAATAATGAAAATTTTAGCAATTAAAAGTATAATATTTAATCCATTTTGAAAACTTATTTTTTAGAATTAAGTAAAATCTAAACAGAATCTACGTGTGTTCAATAAATTATGTTTATAATTATTTTGTAAAACAATCGAAAAAAATATTTGTAGTATTAATAAAAATAATACAAATTATTTTTAATTTATGAATCATAAAATGTTTTATAAAAATTAATAATGTAAGCAACTATATTTGCCAACAAATTATATTTAATAGATTTACTTATGCATAATATCATTTTCATAATTACAGCAATTAATTAACATTGTTTAATTTTTATATGTGAAATAATATAATTCTATTATGAATAATTAATTAGGATTTATAAACTGATTTTCAACGTTCTTATGTAACGTCTTGTTATTTATGTATTTTAAAGATGAATCTCGTATACTAGACTTAATGAATTACTTTGTTTATTGGAAATGATAGAAGTGTGCTCATTGTCCAAATGCGTCGTTTATATGATAACTTTTGTTTTATATGTTTATGACAATTTTGTAAATTAAATCCCAAATTAACTCTTTAGAAATAATTGTTTCCATATATATTCACAAAGTTAAAAATAAAACACTAATGTTGTTTTTGTCTATTTCTACTATTATCTGCATACTTACTCCACATTAAAGTTTATTTACTGTCATTAAGAATGGATCGTTGCGTTGTATGCAATAATAATTTTTAGCATTCCATTTTACTTGCAATTCACTATGAAATTCTATTTTATAAATTTAATACACAAAAACATATATTTTTTGACATTATCAAAATAAAATAAAATTATGATTATCATAATCTGTTTTTCAGATCTAGAGTAGATTAGTAGGTGATTCGACTTTGGTCTGGCCACTTAATTTTACTGAGATTCACTTAAGTGTTTTAATTAAATGTATGTAATTTGAAAAAAAGTAAATATTTTTATTGATTTTTATTATCTTATCGTTAAAGAAGCGCCATTGTTTATAAATATTATGTAAGATTCGTTTATAGAAATAAATTGTATTCAGTTGTTTTTTGTTTTTTTTGTGAGAGTAATGTATTGTGACTAACCTTTCTTCGGTGGTAAAGTTTGCCAGTTCGGGTACCCAACACCAATGTTCCTCGGGTGTCAAGGTGATGAAAATCTGGGTGAAGTAGACCCATGCCACGAAGCACGCAAATGGTACCATCATGAAGAAGAGCAGGACCTGGTATCTGCCGAACTCTCCGATGTGCGGGAGCAAGTCATCGAACTCGAAGTCTTCGGAATCTTCGCCATCCCCAGGTTTCTTAACCAAATTTGGAGGAAGGCTTTCAGAAACGAATGCCGTATTAGAGAATCCTCCTTGCTTGTTTGCAACCACACTGGGAGGTTGAACGTGTTCCAAATTACTGCAGGATTCCTTCGGCTCTTCCGGCTGCCTTTCCTGCGGCGGGAAATTCTCTTGTGGGGGCATGGCTTTTGTATTTCTTTCTCTTCGACGTGAGTTTCCTTCAATCACCAACACTGAGCAGATTCGTAAATCACAAGCACTGGTTCTCTTGTTTCCTTGTTATATAATTTTTAGGATTTGAGGTGACAGAGGGCACTCTTCCGGCTAGGCTAATCCCTTTTTTCTATCTGGATTCCAAAAAAAAGGGTGTAAATCCTAACCCGGAGTTTGGTCAATGACTAAAGCTATCGACAGACGCCGCACCGTTTTTATACGAAAGGTGGCAAAGGCCAGACATCGCCTTGGAATTCCCTTCCCCCCAAGAGAGCTCACATTTGAACATACTACATACATCGATGCACGCGTTCAATTCTCTTCAATTCAGTGACGCGCGCGGATCATTTACAGCCGTGCGTGCCGCCAGCGGCTTCGAATCATCCGATCCTCAAATGATGAGAGAGGAGAGAAAAAAAACTCGCGGAAAACTGAAGGATTTCCTTTTTCCCATCATCCTTCGATGATTACCGTTCACCCAATAATCATAATAGTTATAATAATCGAACGTCGTTATTCTTTCGAGAAACGGCAAACAGAACGATTATCGCTGGAAACGTTGGACGCATTTCCCGAGGAGCCCATGAAACGGGAGAGAGACTGCTGCCCGTGGAAAAGCAAGCAAATCCTTGTACGCTATAACACGCCAATTACCAATTGAACGCTCTCAAAAGGAAAAGAAAAAAAGCAACGAAAATTAAGTAAAAAATCGCCGATGTGTAAAGCAAAACGCTTGGAACTGGAAAGAAACTGCGATCGAATAAATCGTAAAAATCAATCAATATTTCTCCGCGACGGCCGAATCATCAGATCAGTCATTGTGAAATTGCGCTCAGACCGCGAAACGGCAGCTAACCCACAAAACGGAAAGCGAACGCTGGAAAACAAAAAAAGGAAATAGAAAGAATAACATCAAGACGAAGACAATTAAAATAAAACATATTCATTATGTATGTTTTCTTTTATTAATATCGTGATTTCTAAACGGTTAATAAATGCGGAAGTCGTAACGCTTTGAGATTTTTAAGCTTCTTATTCATTTATTTTTTTTTCTTCTTCCTGATTTCGGTTTCGGCGCAACCTTGCTCTGATCGCATGCAAATAGAAAGACCAAATCGAAAGTGACTAATTCCAATTTTTCAAGTTCATTATTCCGTCCAATGTAATTTAATTCCGTTTCATTAATTATTTTTATATTTGATGTAATAAATTATTACATTTGTGATCGAAGCGTGCGTCAAATGTACCCGGCGCTTCCGCCATAATTCAATATGTTTCTTTATATTTTCTTTTTGCTGTTGGGTATGCAAATGGTTTTTCCGAAATGTATAATTAATCTGATCTGGATTTCCTCGGGTCGGCGAATCGTGTTTTTATTTGCTTTCCATTTTAACGCGAGCGCTCGCCGCGCTATAATTCCCTTTCTTTTCGCGTTTATCCAACTAATTTGTATAATTACGCCTTCCGAACGCGTCATTAGATCGTTTTTGATAGGTTCACATAAATCTAATGCGAGTTTCATTTTTTTTTTAAAGTTCTATTTACTTCGATTTGCTGGTACATTCAAACCAGTTATAACTGAAACAGTATTTGCATTTTATATATCACAAATTTAAAATATCACTCTAATTATAATTTAAAACGGCAGAAAAGCTTTCAGTTCAAATTCACCAATGAAAATTCCATAGAAATTAATATAATATGATCGTATTAATTGAAATGCATTTTCAAAGAATCTAATATTCAACTCTTAACGTAGCAAATCACAAAATATTAAAATTTATGTAGTTCAAATATATTTTATTTATAATTAAATAAATTAATGAAGTATTTTATTACATAATAAATCTTAAATATTTGTAACTTTTTCTAAGTGAATAAAATTAAATATTTAAATTACATTATTGAAACTTACCTAATGATTATTGTTATTTAATACTAAAGTAATTAATTACAAATTAATTAAATATATTTGATACAAGGTTTTTTTTTAACATCATCAATAAATTGAAAAAAAAGGTTTTGTTAAGTTGATATGCAATAAAAGTCTTCATATAAATCTGTCTAATGACAGAGCTGAACTTTACAAATACACCAATACCTCACATAGTGCGGGAAATGGGACTCTTTGAAGCGGGACCATTTAAGAAACTAAATAAATTCGACTGTATAGAGTGAAAACTCGATCATTTATGTAGAGAAAATAATTTTGTGTACTATTTCTTTTACTCCTATAATTTATTATTATTTTGTTCAAGTAAAATTTTATTTGTTTTGAAATTTAAAACCGGACTAAAGTGAATCCGGAATGATCAAAGTGAAATATTTTTGACAATTTTAGTTTTTTTTCAAACGTTTTGCGATTCCACAAGGACTTACAAATTTTTGTAATAACAGAAAAAAATTGCAAATTGGTTTACTACACAGTATGTTATTTGTATTGTAATTTACGTATTAATTTAATATAATAACGCCATTTAAATATCACAATAAAAATAACATTTGCATTCGAAACTTCACATTATTGGTGCGAAATATTTTGTATACTGTTAAATCAAAATTTAAAACAAATCTTTGTCTTTTGCCTATTTTGCAAATAGAAGATATTTATTTATATTTTAATCAGATACAATAATTTTACTAGTAATTGCAATATTTGATTATTGTTACTGTGTTAAAATAATAAACAATTTCAAACAACGCAAAGTATTACATAGATTTCATAAGTTATCTGAATAATTAATATTAATAATGAGTTAAGTAGAGGAAAAATTGATGAATTTTGCAAAAATAATAATTGATGCTAATTAATTTATTTAATGTAATTTTATCTATGATTATAATTAAATTAAAAAAAAATAATAACGTGTGTGTAGGTTGTCATACGTTTATCATACTTTTAATATTTAAATTATTGATGAGATTTGTTTTGAAAGATATTAAATAAGTTTATTAATGATTTTGTTATTAATGAGCCAATCTATTTTTAGATTCTTATTTCAAAGTGATCGTCCAACCTGAACCTGAGAGTAGAGAGTTATTAAATATAAAAAAATCAATACAAAGAATCTCTAATTTAGAGCATATAATGAAATAATTTTACGCAATAATTAAAAACAAAATATAAAAAAAAACAAAAGAATCACAACTAGAACTAATCGATTTGATTACTCAAAGTTATTCAAATTTTAAGTAATTTTTGTGCACAGCGCACGACCTTCATCCTTCCACGCTCGAAACAAACGAAAAAAAAAAAAACACACACAACAGTCCCACATTATTTCCTTCATTATTTGCAAATTTTTTCGTACTCATACATTTTCGATGCGAAATTGACGAGGATGTTCGCTAATTAATAATAAGATATAATTGCTCTTCAAAACGAAACACATATATTATTCATAATTTCGGGTTTTAACGTTTCAACAGGTATAAGGTAAAAAATGAAAAAAAGAACCTTACATATACAGTATATTCACCTGACCTTGGAAATCGCAACAAAGAGAATGAGAAGTAAAAAAGAAAGAAAGGCTCAATCTGTTGTTATTTTTTTTATACATCACACTTACGTAACGTTAATTAACATTACTTTTGGTGTTCTATTTTTTTAATTTTTTTTTTATATTGTGGAACCTCGGTTTTCGAACATAATTTACTTCTAAAGAATGTTCGAAAAGCGAAATCTTAAATCCCTTAATATCACTGCTTATTTAAAACTTTATAGTCTTTATAATAGTTACATTATACAAAAACATTGAAAATAGTATAATAATATTTATTGTAACAACCATTTCCAGTTCGGAAACCGAGACAAAATATCAAACCAATATTTTGTTCGAAAACGGAAGCTTTCGAGATGTACAAGTATCACCCGACTTACGAACTAGTTCCGTTCCAAAGAGTTGTTCGTAAGTCGAGAGAATTTAAAAAATTTCATAAAATACTTATCTTACCACACTTTATCATCGTTTATATATGTTAAATTCCGTATTACTGTCAGCATAAATTTGAAAAATTAGAGTAAAATAAACAAAATATTTACAAATACTTTTCAATGTAGACATCAAAGTTATTGAATAGAAACGACAAAAGAAACAAATGCCACAAAAGAAAACATCTTCAAAAAATATTATATTTTATTTAATTTTTTTAATCAATTTTAGTTTGGACAATTAATTTTTTTGATCACTGTATATCTCCTTGCAACAAGTTAGAGCTTTTAAAATTTTGTTCGTAAGTCCGGGAGTTCGTAATTCGGAGGTATATGAAAAATGATAATAATCAGATCAGAGACTGTATCTTTTTTATTCTCAAGTTTACTTTAAATCAGTACAAGTTCAACTCTCGTATATATTGTTATATTTAACATTGAACTTAAAGGTTAAATAAGATATATTATTTCTTTAAATATAAATGTGTTTTGCAATTATTTAAATACATATGTATATATAAAATTCATAATTAAATAACAGTTTTATCTCGATATATTGTATTTCCAATTGAATTGTTGTGTTTAAAATATCAAAACTGATTTTTGATTGTTTCTTACTTCTATAATTTGACATTGAGAAGATGATTACTTCAAGAATTTCTGATTAATATTAATTCAAGTTTCAAATTGTTTTTCTAAGAAATTTTCTTGCATTTCATCGTGCAATTTTAAATCCTTTATAACAACTAACATTTATTCTATAGATATATAATTATTTTTTTTTGCAAAGCTTACCTAAAACTAATATCATTCAATTCTAATACATTTATAATTTGATTTATTTATTTTATTAAATTTACTAAAAAAATATTCAAATTTAAATTTATATACTTGATTTCTTCATGAAATCATGAAAATAAACAAATTCGTAGATAATAATAAATAATTTCTAAATTGAATCTGCAAATAATTATGTTAGTATTAAGTAGTATTATTGAATACAAATATTTCAATCATATTACTAGAACTTTAGTAAGAAGTTCCATGAGTATGATTTGATTAAAAACTTGATAAAATCCGTTACTTTTTTAACATAATTTAAATGTAGCTTTAAAAAGTAATCACAATTATAGTAAATAATATTTGTGTATAATCTAGTGATTCATAGTTTACATTGATTGCTATTATAATTATCCAAATTGATAGTTCAAACAAGCATTGGTTACTTTTTAACAAAACAGTAATATTTCATATAAACCATT